AACTAAAAGAGGGAAGCCCAAACACTGTGGCAGCATTGTGGTAGGATCCTTCAATCAGTATGTATTATGAGTCGTGCTGTATTATACGGTCTGTTTGATGTATGAATCAAACCCGATTGTCTAAATCACTCAAATTGTTCTAATTATTACTTCAAAATGTACACAGTATTTTGGACGTAGCGCGTATGATTTTGAAGGGTCTTGTTAAGCCAGGTATCCCAGCATATTATGTCTCAGCTCCTTTCAGTCTTCAGATGAAATGACTCCCAGTTAAGGATTTGTTGTACTTGAGAGGACCTTAAGAAATAAAGTATTTATGAAGTATCTGTGCCTCATCGCAGACTCTTTATGACGGAAAGTGGCATCAGCTCAAAGTCCTGGTGAGACCACGTCAGGTCAGCAGTTTCCTGGACGATCTGCTGATCCAGGAAGAACTGCTGGAGCCGGTGGAGCCCATCTACATCAATGGGGAGACCCAGGTTGCTAAGAGACGGGGAACCGACCTCCCTGTGGCCGTGAGTACAAACGACCCAACGTTTTGACTCAAAGTGCAGGGGACACGTGTGTCTGACTCACGGAGGAGTCAATCAGAGGGACGGATTCAGGTGTATCAAGCAACATTTAAACTGAGGAAATTAGATAATATTATACAAAGTGAATAACTGACTAGTCTGTGATAAAATAGGTGAAATCTCTCATTTGTCCTTCTGTAGCTCATCTTTTTGGCCCTCATAATAATGAAGTCATTTCATTAATAATCCACCACTTCTTACCCAAACAACATTTCCATTTTTCTGACCACTTGTCTTTTTATTCAGGTGGAGATTCAGAAGCTTCGTCTGTACTGTGACCCTCATCAGAGCGAGAGAGAAACGGCGTGTGAGATCTACTCTGTGGTGAGACAACTATCACCTCCCACCATATGTTGGCCCCTCGGTGTGCAGCACACGGCCTTGCAGCGGTCCTCACCCACCTGCCGGCGTCCAATCCAGAGCCACACGGTCCACACAGCTGTCTCACAGTCGTGACTGATGGAAGTCATGTGACCCTCGTGGCTCATTAGTCAGTCAAGTTCACGTCCACCAAAAGCATTTGTCCTTCCATGACGCCATAACCGAATGTCCTGTGAAGAAGGACGTTTTTCCGAGCCTTCACGGTAGACCTGGTCTGGTCCTCCAACGGCCGCATAGGCCGAACAGAGCGGCCCCTGAAACGGGACGGTCTGTCCTGAGGGGGGACTTTACCTCCACTGCCCCCGTTGCCTTGACAGTAAAAGCCTCATAACAAAAATGTATAACATGCAGATAGAGAAGGTGATCTTCGGTGACTGCTCGGTCCTCATGAGGACGCACCCGCTGAAGTGAGACCAGCTAAGGAGTGGACAGTGACGAGCTGTCCCTGTATCCTGCTGGAGGGGAACCAGAGCGCCACAGATCAAGAGATGAATGTGTTCTTATCCACTGTAATCTGCCCTGTAAAGGTCACATTGTGTACTTCTGCATGTATCTGCGTGTGAGAGGCTACAATGATGATAATGACAATCACCTTTTTCTCTTGTCCTCTGTCTCATGCAGGACGATGAAAGGGTAAGTGCAGTGTCTGTCCTCTGTTCTCCTTTTGCAAATTACTGACATGCTGGATAAAGAAAACGAGAAGAGCTCTTTAATAATGATTCGGGGAGGAATATGAATGTGTTCTTATGAAGGCTGGATGTCACCCACGTCAATCAGTATTGATGCGGGTTTTATATTTGATTTGATTGCATTAATGTTTCAATTGGGATGTACAATAAATATTTGAGCTGCTACAGTGTAAAAGTAATACTGCTGTTTAAAACCAAATTATTCTATTAATTTCGACTTTTGTTCATGAAGTAGTACTTTTTAAACAAACGTGCACTACTTTTGAATTCATTTGAATTTTGTGCATAAAAATCGACCTGCACTAGTTCTTATATCGACAAATAAATCCTAATATAATACATCTAAAACTCTCCTCGGCAAAACAACAACACTGTTTTTCTGATCATGTGAAGCAAAGGTGAGTGCAGAGTGGAAATGACTCCATAAGTCTTCCTGTTGGTGTCCTCCTGATGCTTTATTGTCCTCACGATGAAGCTTGGACTGTGTCTCCTCAGTGTCCTCTGAATCGAGCAGCCACCGCGGACAAAGAAGACTGGACCACAAGGGCAGCGTGGGGCGCCCGGTCCCATGGTAAGACGTGCGCACACGTCCTCACTCGTGTACTCGTGCACCCACACGTCTATGGCGTTATATTTGTGCCACAATCCTGAGCGCGTAATTGTAAGTTTTGAGCACAGAGAACTATGTTGTAGGGGCGGCACGGTGGCGTGGTGGTTAGCACTGTCGCCTCACAGCAAGAAGGTCCTGGGTTCAATTCCGCCCAGTGGCCTTTCTGTGTGGAGTCTGCATGTTCTCCCCGTGTCTGCGTGGGTTCTCTCCGGGTTCTCCGGCTTCCTCCCACAGTCCAAAGACATGCTCTGGGGATCAGGGTGATTGGCGACTTTAAATTGCCCGTGAATGTGAGTGTGAATGTGAGTGTGGACGGTTGTGTAGCCCTGCGATTGGCTGGCGACCAATCCAGGATGTACCCTGTCTATCGCCCGAAGTTGGCTGGGATGGACTCCAGCCCCCCCGCGACCCTGTGTGCAGGATAAGCGGTTTGACAATGGATGGATGGATGGATGGAACTATGTTGTAGCTCGCTCCACCTCTTCACGCTGCGCTCGCTCGACTTGCAGCAGCGTTACATTTGTGCCACAAAACCAACCAATCAGAGAATTAAAGAAGGTCCATTGTGATTGGCTGTTGGTCTCCAATCACAACGCTAGTAGAACTACCTACAGCATCGCGGAAGCTCAGCGAGTTGTTGAAGTTTGGGGCATTTGTGCTAAATGCTAATGGCCTGGATTAAAACACTGGACATAGGCTGTTGTGACCAACGACAGGATTAAAACACATTTTGGTAAGTATTCTTTTCTATTAATATATAAGTTCCTCGTTAGTTTTGTGTATTATGATGCCGTTGTGCTGTTTGACTTACAGTAACATCCTTGTATGACTAAAGTTAGTTTGATTTATCCTTTTCAAGCAATCCAACGCTAGCAGCTGGCCATGTCATCAGAACAGCACGACCTAAATGTCACACCACAGCCACATGTGAGTAGTTTGTTATGCTATGGTTATATAGTTACTTTGTTTTATTACCTTTGTTGTGTTTGTCTGTATATTCTTAGCTTGCGAACTAGCTACATTTCGTTGCTAACGTTAGCTAATTGATATCAAAAAGCAGTAGGCTACCAAGATAATGTTAGTTGCCAAACAGTGAACAGAAAAGTGAAGGCTTAACTGATTTTATTTAAATTTATAATGTTACCTTGAAGGCACGTTGTTGCCAGACATTTCGGATGTTACAAGACTTGATTGGGGCTTGGGGAGGATGTAGGCTATGGGAGTTACGCAATCAGGATATAAGTGATAAATGTATTAATAACTTCCACCACACGTTATCTTATCTCAGTCAACTAGTTTATTCAGAGATGTACATGGCTTACTGTGAGTCCCTCTTCTTAGCTAATCTGAGCGCTTTCTGTCTAACAGGACATGCTGAGACAGCAGTTGGAGAGACTTCTTACTAAACTGCAATCTGCCATAAACCAACAACTGCTAAATTTGGATTATTTGGAGTTCTTGACACGCCATGAGCTTATTCTGTTTGAATCGTTCTCTGAGCAGATAGGCGGTGTATCAGACATAACAGAAGCACTACAAAACCTCTATCATGTTGTCCAGCAGGAAATTAATGCCAGCTCTATGCCCATTGTTGAACAGGAAACAGTGGTTGGTCCAGGTTCTGGTCACCCCAAAATTGTAATCGAGAGAGAAAAACTAAAGAATATGCTGGACACGCATCTGCCAGTCTCCTGCATTGCAAAATGCCTGGGTGTGTCACCGAGAACGATTTACAGAAGAATGCAAGAATATGGCTTATCTGTAAGAGGATCATACAGCACAGTGACTGACCAAGAGCTTGACAACGTGATTTCAGCCATCAAAAGTCAGATGCCAAATGCTGGTTATCGAATGGTTCAAGGCCATTTGGTGTCGATGGGTCTCCGCATTCAGTGGTGGAGAATGATGGCCTCTATGCATCGCGTTGATGCTGCAGGGATCTTCTTGCGCCTCACAGAACTAGGTTGTGTTCTGCGACGAAGTTATTCTGTGCGAGGCCCTCACTCCTTGGCCCACATTGACACAAATCACAAACTGATAAGGTAGATTAAAATAGAATATTTATCTAATTATTTAAACGCAGAATGTTGTGGAGTAGGAGGCATGTCATACAACTCCCATATGAACGGCCTTAGTTATACTGTAACCTTTTTACCTCTTGAACAGATACAACATTGTTATCTTTGGAGGAGTGGACGGCTACTCAAGGAAGGTAATTTATGTTTTTTTTATTGTTAATATTGTCAGCCCAATATGGATTGGGACCATAAATGCATATTTATTTATAATATGCATTTTAAATACATATTCAATTATAGAATACAATTGAATATGTATTTCACATCAACATATGTATGTGTCTGTTTGATTACTTCAACCAAAATTGTTAAACATGCAAGAGTAAGTTGCTACAATAAATGGGCAATATTTGTAGTATTTTAGGATGCAAGATAAACCAAGTTATTTATTTAAAAAAATATATGAACACATAGAATAATTTAAGTGCCCAAGGCTGTAGAATGTTCACTAAACAAAACTAAAAGCTAAAGGCTATCCATTAGGATGCAACCCTATAGCTGCAAGAAGATTAACATTTTTCATGTGGTTTTATTAGATCTTGTACTTGGATGCTGCAACAAATAACAAAGCGTCAACTGCATTCTCATTCTTCCTGAGATCAACCCAGCTTCATGGCATACCATCAAGGTATTTTGCCATGACAAAACAAACTCATATCTGGAGAAGTGGCATTTGATTGTTTTATTAATTTATAATTGTATCCCAGAAACTATAACTTCATATTCTAAAGTTAAAGTAAACCTTTTGTATGTCATTTAAATTTGTTTTCATCTTAGAGAAAGGGGGGATCAGGGTGTTGAGAATGTAGACATCGCACACTTTATGTTCACCACACGGGGAACAGGAAGAGCGAGCTTTATCTCGGGAAAGAGTGTCCACAATCAGAGGTAAGTTGTTTTTGTCAGTTTTTGACTGCATAAATACTTCTTGGAACAATTGAATTGTTTGAAAGTACATATTGCTTTATAAATCAGTCAACCAATTAAAATTTCATTCTAGAATAGAGCGACTTTGGCGGGATGTCTGGGTTGCAGTCACTAGCAAGTACCATGATGTTCTTCACTCTCTGGAGGAAGATGGTCTCCTTGATTTCTCTGATGTGGTTGATCTCTTTGGCGTCCACTACATCTTTATCCCTCGACTCCGAGCAGACCTTGATACCTTCACTAGAGGATGGAATAATCATCCTCTACGGACAGAGGGAGGTCTCAGTCCTGAACAACTGTGGTTTATGGGACATGAACAAGCTCTAGACGAAGGGGAGAGTCTTGAGGTACACAATTATAAAAAGGACAGTTCACACTAAATATATACAGTATATATAAAAAAAAAAAAAAACATCTCGCAGGCTCAATGGTGTTTTAAGCCGCCGACATCCGGATCCAGGCAGCTAAACATAACCATTGCCGTGCTGCCTGGAAGGACGTTGGGGGCTTAAAACAGCAAACACGGTTTGGCAAAGAGATATAGGTCTTGTTTCATGACATAAGACATTAAAGATTAGATTTAAATAGACAGAAAACATCAGAAAAATGTTTTAAAAGGTACAGAGTCTTAATTTATTTGAATTGTTTTTTTGCTGGATTTGTAGGAACTTCAAGATCCAGGCATTGAATGGGAGAGTGCAATACTGCAAGGAGACGGTGCAGTTGTGGTTCCAGAAATTGTATGCCCACTGAATGAGGAAGCCCTGGAAGAACTTCAGAGAACTCTTGATCCCCTGGAACATTCTCAGTCACATGGTCGTGACTTGTACACACGATACTTGAACATTGTGTCCAACCAACAATGACATTTAAACATGAACGTCTTAGCTGGTTACAATTTTGAACTTGGCAAAAACATCCAATTAACTTTACTAACGGACCAGCAAAAAAAGGCACTTCAGGAGTGGCACCCTTTTGGATGTATTACTAACAGTAGCAATAATTGCTTTGATTGGAGTAGACCTAGATGTGTTAAACTCTGTGGAACCCACCACCATATTTAACTGCTTCACTCATGATTCTCCTAAAGTCAGTGTAAGTGCTAAGATGCTGTACTGGAAAAGTCACAGTCTGAGTGCATGCACTCACAATTGGATAGCAAACTGCGTGATCTCCTAGTCGCTCCCTGCAGTTGTGGTCAAAGTTGCATGTTATTTTGAAATGTCTCTTTTCATCAGGGAGCATGGGGATGTGGGACTGCCCCGTCATCCACTGGAGCACGTGTGGCACTGCAAGAGGCTATGTGTCACCAGCTGCACGGTCTGTCTCCCCATCTGCGATTGATGTATATTTCAAATAACATGAAAGAGAAGCTATTCAAACTTACAGTATTGTCTTGTACACATTCTTGGATAATAAATTTGTTATGTGCTCTGTACATTCAAATGGTGTTATGTGTAATTGTGTATGCACACTCTAAAGTATATAGTACCTGACATTTCAACCTCCTGCAAGAAATCTTGCAGAAAGTTGATGATCTTCCGCTCAGTTCTCCCCTTAGATGTCCCCTTTTCACTGAAATTGGGCTGGCAGTTCATGATTATGAAATCAGCATCAGGCTATAAAGAAACAGTGAATGCATATTTGGTTAAATATTTTAAGTTTTCAAATATAGGCTTGTAAAGGCTATACAAAATGAAGATTCCAATAAACAGTACAGGCCAAAAGTTTGGACACACTTTCTCATTCAATGCGTTTCCTTTTTACTTTCATGACTATTTACATTGTAGATTCTCACTGAAGGCATCAAAACTATGAATGAACACATATGGAGTTATGTACTCTAAAAAAGTGTGAAATAACTGAAATTATGTCTTATATTTTAGATTTTTCAAAGTAGCCAGCCTTTGCTTTTTTATTAAGGGAAACAATTCCACAAATTAACCCTGACAAAGCACATATGTGAAGTGCAAACCATTTCAGGTGACTGCCTCATGGAGCTCATTGAGAGAACACCAAGAGTTTGGAGAGTTATCAAAAAAAGAAAAGGGTGGCTACTTTGAAGAATCTAAAATACAAGACATGTTTTCAGTTATTTCACACTTTAAGTACATAATTCCATATGTGTTCATTCATAGTTTTGATGCCTTCAGTGAGAATCTACAATGTAAATAGTCATGAAAATAAAGAAACGCATTGAATGAGAAGGTGTGTCCAAACCTTTAGCCTGTAATGTATATCTAGGCAAATGTAAGAAAAGATTAAGTGGCAGTTAAAATTGATACCTTGATAATCTTCCCGGGAACAAACAGGGAGCGGCAAGCTTCAGGGTTTGCAGCCATCTGGTTCACCAGGCCGTACAGTTCCATGCCCTTTCGAATTTGCTGCAGCATTGGAATCAGTCTTGTAGTAGAATGTAGGACAATTGCTCTTTGGAGAAAAAAAAAAAACATGGTTTGAAATGTTTATATTTTTAAATGAATAATATTTTAAAGTGTAATATTCTTACCGAATGATGCTTTCTTTGCATTCCAGGGTGATCTGGCTCGTGTATCCACAGCTTATAATTTCATCAACGTTCAACATCAGACACTGAGCATCTGCAGAATCGTCGACCTGAGAAAAAAAACGAAATAAGCTTTTTTGAAATAAAGCAGCTAATAAAATGGGTGTAAAAAACAATCTTATTTATATCTAAAGTGCTCACCCTGCTGATGAGTTGACAAGATTCTAGATCGGCCACATCTTCCTTAGACAGAGAATTTAAGTCCACTTCTCCTGTGCAGAGGAAGTTGTAGCACCACTCTCTCAAAAAAGCAGGAGGTGGGCCACCTTGTGCGAGGCTGGCTGCCATTATTTCACCAATAGTTCTGTGTGCAAGGTAGAAAACATCTCAGTAAAAAAACTCCTTACATCCAGTTCATGGCAGTAATGTGTAAAAAAAAAAAAGAAGAAAAAAAAAAGGATGTACCAACCTGAAGTTTTCGTTATCAAGGTCTGTCAAAGAGTACTTGGGATTTTTACCCTGGTTTCCAGCTCCTTCAAAGAACCTGTTTTCAATACCTGAAACCATATCTTAGACAAAACAGCAATACCCAGTTTTAGCTTATTGATTGGTTTGGTTTCATATTCGAACACAGCGGTTAAATGAACAACTTACCAGTTAAAAACTCTTTCCTAAGTGCTCCTGTATCAATACCTGCCTCTCCTATATACACCACCTTAAGAGCACTGGCAGGAGATGCAGCTTTCTTTCTTTTCCACTGGAGAATGCCCCTGTCTGGAAGGTCTTCTCTGTCCACACACAACTTAAATTCTGTTGTTGTGTCAACTTGATGTTCAAGGAAGTGCAATACATCTTCCGTACTTAAAGAGGACAGAAAACATAAGATAGTCCCAAATTATCAAAAACAATTTGTATACATTATTGCCATTTTATAGTTCCATCAAGCAGTATGCTGAAAAGTGTTTGGAAAAGAATCAAATTACATGTGATTATAAATGTGCTGTGTTAAATAATTTGATAAAATGTGATTTCTAGAGAAGATGGCTGGAAAACATGGATTGTGTAAATTGTGGTGCACATAAATATTTTTGTATTTGATATAAACTCACACTAAGGGCATATAAATAATACATACCTTCTTGGTTTACATACTGGAGATTGAGCATGCGTACTTGGGCCACTGTCATTTGCTTCAGAAGTCACTGTACATTCAAAGCTGTACATGAAAAACAATGCAGTTTCAAACACCTAACACTCCATATGTATACATAGACAAAATATGTATTATACACAGAGCTCAACAAAGCAGATTACCTCTCTCCACATAGGCTAGCATGGAATGTGATCTCATTATCTGGGAATTCTTTGGTGCAAATTGGACAAACCACCTTAAGTTTGAAAGAAAGTTGGTCCATGTTTCAAGCAAGTGAAAAAAAAGATTACTGGTGCAAAAGGCAACTGAAGAGATTTTGGATTTTAGTTATGGCCTTACCTTGCACTTGTTCTCCACAACCCATAACTCATCAGAGGACTGCAGGTTTACAAAACGGTATTTTAAGTAAACTATTGATATATTTTTATTTTCATTTTAACTTTGGAAAAACAAACTTTCTCTCACCTCTTCACAAGTCTCGTCGGAGGAGAGTTTTCCCTTGCAAGTCTTTATGTGTACTGCAAGCATATGCAAAGGCATCGCCTCTTTACACTGGTAGCATGTCTTCCTTGGCATTTTGGAAAAATGCTGTGAGTCAGAAGGCAGAGGAGAGGTGTCTAAAGTCTCCTGGAGTGGTACGATGTAAAACGTGGCTTTGCCCCCTGCTGACGCAGCTCGCAGAGCTCTGACAGAATACCCCTCTGCTTCTGGTGCAATGACAATCAGCTTTCGTCGACCACTGCCACCTTTATTTAGAAAAAGAGAGGGAGAAAATGCCTTAAAATTATGTGTTTTGTTGAGGAAAAAAAAATTACATTTTGTCAGTCATCTCTAATGCTTACAAAAAAGTAATTAATACACGATAAGGGTTTACATGCACCAAAGATAAATAGGAGATTGGCATGTGATAAACAGTAAATATGATAATTCATCAAAACAATCTTAGTCTTACAGACCTGTTGCCTTATGCAAAAGCCATCCCCCACAAAGATCCTCCATTTTTGGAAATGCGTTCGTCAGGAGCTTTGAAATCTTGGTTAACAAAGTAAAAATTAAAATAAAGATACACACACAAATCCTTGACAGTGAAAAGCTAAAGCACAGTATATTTTACAATAACTACCTTTAATTACAAGTCAAACAGTTGGACTGAGAAGTTTACCTCTGTGTGGTCACCATCTTCAGGAAGAGACACAGTTTGTCTTCCAATACCCGCCTGGAGGAGTTCAAGCTCCTCAGTTGGCAACGGTGTATGTAATGTACTTTTTGGCAGAAGATAAAAATTAAGAGCCGTTGTTTTGCTGGTCTTAAGGTGCTTGGTGGCAGTCAAACACCTCTTTTTACCACGACTGAAATTCTGAAATTATATATACGGTATATATAACAATCAAGCCAATATTCTAAATAGCATATTTTTTACAATGCACTTGGCCTACAAACCAAAGTCCTGTCTCAAGGTGAATCATAACACTCATTTGAATTTAGACATCCAAGTGATTAAACCGACTGGACATAATGTTACCAAATTGCATTTACGACGTGGACTTACAAATAATACATTTCATCATGATTTGAATATGAACATATCTAGGTGAACGAACCTTGTCATTTCTTGCTGCACAGTTCTAGGGAGCTCCGTCTCTGACGGCCGTGTTGGGCAGTTAGTGCCCATACTGTTTAGCAACACAGACACCACATTTCGGGCTGCTGACTCAACTGCACCATGACCCTATATCATTTAACATGTTAAGACATAAAAATGACAAAACATAAGGTACAGTTTTTCATTTACAAAAGTAAGCCATGCTTGCTACAATAACAACATTAATGTTAGCCGGTAGGTTAGCTTAAGTTATAGCTATATCTCCGGCTAGCTAGCGAACGTCATTTTTTCCGAAACGGTCGGATAACAGCAGGTTTCATCAAATGCACCGAAAAACATAACATCACAAAACTAGAAATGACTAACTCACCTGACGTTGTGGCGTATTGTTGCTGTTCTCATCATTCGCTTCGGTCATGTCTGATGGTGGCTAGCCAGACTTCTAATATCACTTTTTTTCGTCTTCTTTAGGAAGCGTTGTGATTGGAGACCAACAGCCAATCACAATGGACCTTCTTTAATTCTCTGATTGGTTGGTTTTGTGGCACAAATGTAACGCTGCTGCAAGTCGAGCGAGCGCAGAGTGAAGAGGTGGAGCGAGCGCAGCAACGGCTGCCTGCGCGCAGAAAACCAGTTTGTGGAGAGGGCACCTGAGTAAACTGCGCGCACGGGATGTTTTTCTTTGCTACAACATAGTTCTCTGTGCTCAAAACTTAAAATTACGCGCTCAGGATTGTGGCACAAATATAACGCCATAGATGTGTGGGTGCACGAGTACACGAGTGAGGACGTGTGCGCACGTCTTACCATGGGACCGGGCGCCCCACGCTCCCCTTGTGGTCCAGTCTTCTTCGTCCGCGGTGGCTGCTCGATTCAGAGGACACTGAGGAGACACAGTCCAAGCTTCATCGTGAGGACAATAAAGCATCAGGAGGACACCAACAGTAAGACTTATGGAGTCATTTCCACTCTGCACTCACCTTTGCTTCACATGATCAGAAAAACAGTCTTGTTGTTTTGCCGAGGAGAGTTTTAGATGTATTATATTAGGATTTATTTGTCGATATAAGAACTAGTGCAGGTCGATTTTTATGCACAAAATTCAAATGAATTCAAAAGTAGTGCACTTTTGTTTAAAAAGTACTACTTCATGAACAAAAGTCGAAATTAATAGAATAATTTGGTTTTAAACAGCAGTATTACTTTTACACTGTAGCAGCTCAAATATTTATTGTACATCCCAATTGAAACATTAATGCAATCAAATCAAATATAAAACCCGCATCAATACTGATTGACGTGGGTGACATCCAGCCTTCATAAGAACACATTCATATTCCTCCCCGAATCATTATTAATGAGCTCTTCTCATTTTCTTTATCCAGCATGTCAGTAATTTGCAGAAGGAGAATAGAGGACAGACACTGCACTTACCCTTTCATCGTCCTGCATGAGACAGAGGACAAGAGAAAAAGGTGATTCTCATTATCATCATTGTAGCCTCTCACACGCAGATACATGCAGAAGTACACAATGTGACCTTTACAGGGCAGATTACAGTGGATAAGAACACATTCATCTCTTGATCTGTGGCGCTCTGGTTCCCCTCCAGCAGGATACAGGGACAGCTCGTCACTGTCCACTCCTTAGCTGGTCTCACTTCAGCGGCTGCGTCCTCATGAGGACCGAGCAGTCACCGAAGATCACCTTCTCTATCTGCATGTTATACATTTTTGTTATGAGGCTTTTACTGTCAAGGCAACGGGGGCAGTGGAGGTAAAGTCCCCCCTCAGGACAGACCGTCCCGTTTCAGGGACCGCTCTGTTCGGCCTATGCGGCCGTTGGAGGACCAGACCAGGTCTACCGTGAAGGCTGGGAAAAACGTCCTTCTTCACAGGACATTCGGTTATGGCGTCGTGAAAGGACAAATGCTTTTGGTGGACGTGAACTTGACTGACTAATGAGCCACGAGGGTCACATGACTTCCGTCAGTCACGACTGTGAGACAGCTGTGTGCTGTGTGGACCATGTGGCTCTGGATTGGACGCCGGCAGGTGGGTGAGGACCGCTGCAAGGCCGTGTGCTGCACACCGAGGGGCCTACATGTGGTGGGAGGTGATAGTTGTCTCACCACAGAGTAGATCTCACACGCCGTTTCTCTCTCGCTCTGATGAGGGTCACAGTACAGACGAAGCTTCTGAATCTCCACCTGAATAAAAAGACAAGTGGTCAGAAAAATGGAAATGTGGTTTGGGTAAGAAGTAGTGGATTATTAATGAAATGACTTCATTATTATGAGAGCCAAACAGATGAGCTACAGAAGGACAAATAAGAGATTTCACCTATTTTATCACAGACTAGTCAGTTATTCACTTTGTATAATATTATCTCATTTCCTCAGTTTAAATGTTGCTTGATACACCTGAATCCGTCCCTCTGATTGACTCCTCCGTGAGTCAGACACACGTGTCCCCTGCACTTTGAGTCAAAACGTTGGCTCGTTTGTACTCACGGCCACAGGGAGGTCGGTTCCCCGTCTCTTAGCAACCTGGGTCTCCCCATTGATGTAGATGGGCTCCACCGGTTCCAGCAGTTCTTCCTGGATCAGCAGATCGTCCAGGAAACTGCTGACCTGACGTGGTCTCACCAGGACTTTGATGCCACTTTCCGTCATAAAGAGTCTGAGATGAGGCACAAATACTTCATAAATACTTTATTTCTTAAGGTCCTCTCAAGTACAACAAATCCTTAACTGGGAGTCATTTCATCTGACGACTGAAAGGAGCTGAGACATAATATGCTGGGATACCTGGTTTAACAAGACCCTTCAAAATCATACGCGCTACATCCAAATACTGTGTACATTTGAAGTAATAATTAGAACAATTTGAGTGATTTAGACAATCGGGTTTGATTCATACATCAAACAGACCGTATAATACAGCACGACTCATAATACATACTGATTGAAGGATCCTACCACAATGCTGCCACAGTGTTTGGGCTTTCCTCTTTTAGTTCCTATTTCCCTGCCTTGTGTTCCTGGCTTAACTTCCCTTGCTGGAGGAACTGTAGCTTTCTTCCTTCCTCCTCCAGCTCTGACTGGAGAGGGAACCACAGCTTCATCACAGGCTTCTGCTGCCCAAAGGTCACGTATGTGACAAATGAATATTCGGGGAAGACGTAATATATTACTACATTTTGTCAGAGGACCGTTGACATAAAATAAAAAAATGACATGCAACGGATATTACAATACTTTATTACTTCATCGTTCAGTAACATGTTTTGTGTTTCTGGTATTTTGTCGTATTTATAAACTCCACCCGACACCAACCTGGACGCCTCTGAAGGTGACTCTCTGCTCCTCTGCAGTTAAGCTAGTGGTGGTAAAGATCTGATCAACAAATGACCGTGAAATTGTGGCGTTAAAGGCGGCGCGAGGGAGAACGTGTGTGCGGCTGAATGAAGACGCACCAGTAAGCTGGTAGACGGTCCGTCTGGAGCCGCGCGTCACATCTCCCACCTGCTGGAGGTCATTGTTCTCAATGTGGACAAACTGACTACAGACGAGTCGCTCAAACAACCTGACTCGCTGCCTGAAAAGTCCCAAAGTCACATCACGTGGATTAAATATAACGTTGTATTATTTCCCTCTGGCGTCGCTGCCTGTTGCTGAGGTGAAATGCATTCTGGGATATTTGGCGCTCACAAGCGCGGACGAGCCTGCCGCGATGCATTGTGGGTGAAATGGGCGGGGCGAGTCACATCCGGGTAGTATGACCGGTCTCGGCCAGATGCAGACTTCCTGTGAGACTCTGAGGACAGAAACTGCAGAACAACACGAGCTTTCACGTCAGACGCCACAAAAGTCTCCAGTGAAACCAGATAAGGTCGCTGGTCGCTTTGACAAGAAGACACCGACAGGGTTCATGACGTCACTGCACCAAACGACCAGGGAGCCTGCGCATGCGCACACCTCATACCTTTGTGTGTGTTTGGTGTTGCTAATGCGTTAGATTGTTGCTGTACCCATAAATATTATTGCATTTCACATTGAAAATACGTTTTTAAAGCAATGGGGGCTAAATACAGATTGCAAGGGTGAAGGGCTGAATTCAACAAGTTGTGCTCTCTAAACAAGAGGCCGACACATTGTAAGTTACTGCTGCTTAAAGCATGATACTGTGTAATATACCTGGAAATGTTACTCCAGAAATACCATAAGTTGCAGATAAATTGTTATCTTGTTGATAATGTAATAAGTAAACCATCTATAAATGAGGGTTCTAACACACCTGCTGCTGTTATTATTACTAGTTTATTACTGTCATCATAAACCCAAATGACCAACTTTGCCTTTGTGCTTTCCCTCCTCACAGGTTTCTGCGGGTGGTGGTTGCATCTGACGGAGATTACATCTGACGGAGGTTACATCTGATGATGGTTGTCCCTGCACTGGTCCTGCCTTAACCCTGGTTTAATAATCCACAATAATATAAATTGTTCATACTCTACACACCTACTTCCCTGCTGTTTTCCCCTCAGGTTTGTCCCGGTTGAAGGTTTTTTACATTTTGGGGTTTAGGGGACAGGATGTTGCATGTTTACAGATTGCAAAGCTGAACAAAATAAAATGATTTGAATTGAATAAACATGTTGACCAGAGGAATCTGCAATTGAGGGCTGTTCTCTGCACTCTGACTCCCTTTACACAAAGAATCCTCAAGTGCGGATGAGGGAGATGATTTCAGGTATACTATCCCAACTCAAGTGACTCACAGCCACATCTTGTTACAGAATCTGAAAATTAAATTCCAATAATCCAGAAAAATGGGCTAGAAATACGAATTCTAAACTAACCTGTCCATGTTTTTTCTGCACTTTTAATTCCATAGTTTATTTCCCTGAAATATAAATTTTATTTCTGTATTGTTTTTAATTAGGAAAAGTGTTGTTATATGTATAGTGTTATATTTATAATAAATACAAATTAACAAAATAATGTGTTTGTCCTTGTTAAGGGATGTTAACATGACAACTGTGACTAAGTATGTAACTTTATCCGTTGAAACAACGTTTAAAAGACGTCTATGGCCCGACGTTGAAAACACGTTGCAAATTGGTTCAAAAGTGAAAGTTGATTCAACGTCTATTCGTAGACGTTGAAAAGACGTTTGTTTAGACCCGTTTTCAACGTGATTTATAATATCGGTGGTAAACTTACAAATGTGGACGTAGTTTCTTTTTAAACCTCCAAAATAATAATATAGCACACAAGAGAGGACGAAATATTACCGTATAAAACATCACGTTGAAATGTGGTCTAAACAATGTGGTCTACGAATAGACGTTGAAACAACTTTCACTTTTAAACCATTTTGCAACGTCTTTTCAACGTCTTTTCAACCAAAAAACGCTCACTGGGAAAGACCTGACGTGTACTGCAGCCTCGTCTCCGTGCATTTGTATCGATTTAGATAACACCAGGGTATAGGATACGACTATAACAGTGATTGTACATGTCGCATA